CACAGTGGGTGGCCCTGAATACCTTACAGGAAGCAGACCGATTTTCTCATTGAAAAGGTATGCTACATGATGGAGAACAGTCAGTGGGGCCCCTGTAGTCAGTCCTCTCCCATGGAATCCCTGATCTGCACAATCAATTAGTAAGGAACAGGAAGACTTCTGGGATTCAAATAGTGACCCCATGTTGCCCATTCCCTAGATGATGGGAACTTTAAGAAAATGCTCTAGAAAGATGAAAGGTAAAAGCAAAAAGTATCTAAGTTCCTAGCTGCTCCAAAAAAAAGGCCTGCTGCCGGCTGTTGACCACTAATCCCTAAAAATGCATCAGGTGGACTGAAGCCAGGTCTGAGAAGAAATGAAGGCGGGTATACACGGCCTACTGCATCTGTTTCCCCAAATAACATTCAAGATATACAGATGTTCTCAGCTACTACTCTTTCTTCATTTTCCTCCTACCTCTTAGCCGTTCTTCCTTTGGCCCTTGCACACTGACTTGCCTGTTGCTCTGTCCACGTCCTGCTAATTCCACTTTCTTACTATTAATATTTCTAGAGTCTGAATATTTTCACCTTTACTGAATGCAATGCTTTAAAATGGTCTAGGTATATTCCCTACCTAGAACTCATACCTATGCACAGTGGGACACATACAGGGACTTAAATAGCAGCATTATGAGTAAAAAAGGAAGAACTACATAAAATTCATTGACAGATCATGGGAATAAACCAATGGTTCATTTATAAAATATAGTATTTTATACCAAAGGTTTTCAAACTTCTTGGTCTTGGGATCCCTTTATACTCTTAATAATTATATTGATCATATCTGAAATTAAAATTTTTTTTTGGAAATTTAAGTCATTTAGAAAGGATAAATTTATTACATGTTAACATTTTTGTGGAAAATAACTGTTTTCTAAAAATAATGTAGTGAAAATGGCACTGTTCTACATTTTTTAAATGTTAGATCTACTTTTGCTTATACAGAATCTTTAGTCACAAATCAGTCCATTTAGCCTTTGAGTTGAAAATAATAGTATTAATAACATCAGTTGACATTAATTAAGCACTTAGTTTATTTGCTATATCTCTCTCATTTAATCCTTATGACAGCCTAATAAGCTAGGCATTATTATTATTATTCCCATTATGAAGATGAGGCAAAAGGCATAAGGAAGGATAAATAACTCGATAAATGTTACACAAGCAGCTGGTTGGATTGCAAGGATTCTAATCTAGATGCTCTTACCCACCATGCTATGTTAAACTTGATTGCATTGCATCATGCACTTGAGAATTCAACAGTTAATTAATCATAATAGGGTCAAATTTACATCTAAAAATCATGCAAGTTTAAATCAATACTACTAATTTATTTCAACTTAATAGCTGGGAAATGCTTAGGGGGTATTGTGGGCTGAGTTGTAGCCCCCTCCAAATTCACATAAAGAAATCCTAATCCCAGCATCTCAGAATGTGACTGTATTTGGAGATAGGTCTTTAAAGAGATAATTAAGGAAAAATGAGATCTTCAGGGTGGGCCCTAATCCAATATGACTGTTGTCCTCATAAGATGAAATTTGGGCACAGACAAGTATAGAGGGAAGATCATTTAAAGACAGGGAGAAGACGGCCATCTACAAATCAAAGAGAAAGGCCTCAAAAGAAACCAACCCTACTAACACCTTGATATTGGACTTTTAGCTTCCAGAACTGTGGGAAAGTAAATTTCTTGTTGAAGCCACTCAAGCTGTGGTGCTTTGTTATGGCAGTCTAACGAACTAGTACAATTAGGGAATTTGAGAAAATTTCATTGGTTACTGGTACACTGACCTAACATGCTATGTGGACCAACACAAATGAAACCATAAGACAATATTTCACAAATATTTTTATTTTGAAATAGATATACTTAATGGCTGATGACCCAGTATCTTTGGTGTCCTCTAACCACATTAGCATTCTGTAATTTCAAAATGAAATCTATACTTTAAAAAACAAACAATGTCAAATTTTGTCATAATATCTGACTTTCAGGCAGACTTTTAATTTTAGTACAACTTAAAATGTCATTAACATTCTAATATGATTTTAATACAATACTGAATAATTCTCTGTGGAATTTATTTTTTATATATTTTTCCTTTTCAATTAGATGAAAATCTCCAAGCAAAAAGAGATTTATAGTTTGTTTTTTTGTTTGTTTGTTTTTTTCTTTTTTTTTGAGACGGAGTTTTGTTCTTGTTGCCCAGGCTGGAGTGCGTAGTGCAATGGTGTGATTTCAGCTCACCACAACCTTCACCTCCGGGTTCAAGCGATTCTCCTGCCTCAGCCTCCTGAGTGGCTGGGATTACAGGCATGCACCACCACCACCGGATAATTTTGTATTTTTAGTAGAGACAGAGTTTCACCATGTTGATCAGGCTGGTCTCGAACTCCCGACCTCAGGTGATCCACCCGCCTCAGCCTCCCAAAGTGCTGGTATTACAGTCGTGAGCCACCTCTCCTGGTGGAGATTTACAATTTATAATGGTAAACACGCTACTATTACAGAATCAAAGCCAAATCAGTATTACTTAATAATTCAGGAAAAATTTAGATAAAATCACTAGACAAAGGTAAACTGATATTCTTATCTACTCATAATTATCTTTGAATTGTAAATAGACAGCTATGCATGGATAATTTAGGAAGAAATACATTTTTAATAGAATTTTGATAGCTCTTAACTGACATCCTAAATCAAGGATTTAGAGATGAAGTATCATAAAGAATAGTAAGATTTTAAAGTTCTCAGAGTAATACAGGATACAAATAAAGACTGTAACAGTATTTAATCATTGTCTGAAACTTTATTACTTAATGGAAGTTTCTATATACTGCTACAATTACGTTTTTAATCCTTTTATTCTCACTAAAAAAAAAATTATTTTTATTCTTCAGTTGAGCCGAGATGCTTTTAATTACTTTTTGTTTACTGCTTCCAGAAATCGTAACAGGTGCAGGAATAGATTGATGATATCCAAGTAGAGGCTGATAGCAGCTAATATGTATTCTTCAGGTGACAGTTTATGCATCAGTGAGTGTGTGTCATAGATAATGAATCCACAGAAAAGAAGGGCTCCTGCAGCAGCTAAGACCAACTCCACTGTCTCACTATAAAAAAATAACTATAGGGAAGACATTAGAGAAATATGATGATATTTGAGAACAGTGCTAAGAAGACTTAAGTTACTTCCTCTAATGATTTACTGCTACATTACACATTTGACAATGGTGCACAACTTTGAATACAAATGTTAAAAGCAGAAAAAGGCAAGGCAGGTCCAAACTTGCTTCTTTTGGATGGAAGGATGAATGAATGGATAGATTCCTTTAAACTAAATTAACCACTTTGAAAAATAGCATTCCAAATATAAATTATTTTTAAATACATTTATTTTTTCACAATTAAATGTGCCATTGGAGCTTGGCAGTTATAAGAGGGCCTCTTTCTATATAATTTAATTCATTTATTTATTCATCTTTCTTTCAACCGATAATAATGACCAACACAAGACCTTGATTTTTTAAAGGGATAATTCTATAAACAAATGTTCTGGATAATTATAACTAAATGTCCTATCATAAGAGTACCTTTTATAGCTTTTTGAGGTTATTTATATTGGCACAGCCAGAATTATATTTCAAGTTAACCATTATAACATAACTTACCTTGAAGAATCCTGACAAGCACAAAATCCACAAAAAAGCAAACAGCCTATAAAAATAAAAGTTTAGTAATTTAGAATATTGTTCCTTACAAAACAACTTTGTAAACCCATTTAACACTTTCTGAAAAAAACATATCCATCCAGACTTTTTGCCAAAGAATAACTAAAATGTAAGAATTTGTAAACATACAGTGAATATAATGCCCATTTTGGATTTTTTTAAAAAGAAATTTAAAAAACAGCTATTTCTTCAACATTTGTCTTTATGGTATAAAAACCTAGTTAAAGTATAATTTGTGAAGTTTTTAATTGGAGCACAAAATATAGATAAAAGCAGAAATATTACAAGTATTTTAATTTGGAGATTTACAAAAACTTTTAGAAAATACATAAACAAATGAAATATGACTGTACTTTTAAGCCAAGTAATAACAAGTTATTCTGTGAACATGCATATCTATTAAAGTTCACAATGTACTTTCCATTTTATTCTTATGTATTATAGAATTCAATCAATGGACACATCTGACACTGCTGTAATTCTATGAGTTACAGTTCAATTGTTATGTATAGAGAGTATAAATTATATGAGAAACGACATCTAAGAAGTCAGTCTTTTGTTATCAAATATGGGGCATATCAGCTGCTTCAGGTCATAAGGAATTACAAAAGCCAAATTTATCCTCCTTCTTTAAATAAAACCAGACAAAATATATGAAGCAACAGTTTTTAGACACCAGACGGCAAATAGCACAGGACAGGGGTTCCTGAGATAAAGGATACAAAGAAAGTGAAGTCTATATATTTGCACTGGCTACAGTTTCCAGGCCACCGTGTAGGGATAAGAACCCATACAGACATTTATGGTCTCCTCTGAGTTTAGCAGACAAGAATTCAGAGGTCAGGGAAGCCAAGGTGGCTAGAATTTGTAGGGCAGAGTACCAGAAAAAAGAGAACTATCCACCAAGAGTGAACACTCTGGTGTATGAAAAGGGTTCTCCTAGAGTCTATAGCTAAGGTCTGATTGATACATGCATGTGAGGAGGTGACCAAAGCTGGAGAAAGTACCACCATAAAGAAGCAGGCAGAACAATCATCAGAGTTCACACAGGACTGGGAATAGTTTGCATTTACACCAGCCAAAGCAGAAAGACCTCCTAAGACATGCACTGAGTAGTACTCTGAAGGGCCAAATTAGCCCCTAAACTAAAAACTGTTCTGGACCTGCCTAACAGAGCCTCAAAAGGTTTACTTTCCAAGGAGCTTAACTGTATCCTAGGAGAACAAAGCCAAATATATTTAAAGTTAATACTGTACAACAAAATTCAGCACCCAACCATGTAAAATTTATAATGACCAGCATCGAATAAAAATTATAAAGGCATGCAAAAGAATGAAGGAAATATGACCCATAACAAGGAGAAGAAACAATCAATAGAAACACATCCAGAAATGACACAATGATAGAATAAGTAGACAATGACATTAAAAATGTATTCCCTAGTTCAAGGAGATCAAGGAAAGAGTGATCATGAGGAGAGAAATGGAAGATATATATTTTTTTTCAAAAGACACAAATTGAACTGAACTTTAATTAAAATACAATATATGAAATAAAAATGCTCTGGAATTAATAGATTAGACACTGAAGATTACTAAATTTGAAAACAGCAAAAAGCAAACAAACAAAAAAAGAACAGAACAGAGCATCAGTGAATTAGGGGACAACATTAAGAAGTGTAACATATTATGTAACTGGAGTTTCAAACAAAGGAGAAAGAAGGGGAGACAGAAAAATATTTGAAGAAATAATGGCCCAAAATTTCCCAGATTTGAGCTGGGCACAGTGGTGTGTGCCTGTAATCCCAGCTACTCAGGAGGCTGAGGTGGAGGGAACAGTTGAGCCCAGGAGTTCAAGTACAGCCTAGGCAACACAGCAATACCCCATCTCTTAAACAAATTCCTTTTCCAAATTTGATGAAAACTTTACATTGTCAGATACAAGAAACAGAAGAAGAAAAGTGGAAAGGAAGAGAAACACACCAAGAAATATTATAATCACATCAATGAAAACCAGTGATAAACAATGGTCAAAGTCTCAAAGTAGCCGGGGGGGGGGGGGGCGCGGGAAACATATATAAAGGAATAATAAGAAAGACAGTAAACTTCTTGTCAGAAACTACATATGCCAGAGGACAGTGGAATGATATCTTTAAAATATTGAAAGCAAGAAAAAAACCCAAAACCTAAAATTATAACTTTCAAAAATAAAGACAAAATAAAGATTGTTTTTTCAGACACAAAAGGTGACCAACAGACGATAAGCAATGTTAAGAAGTCCCTCAAATGATATTAGATGGAAATTTAAAGAGATGAAGAAGAGTAGAAATGGCAAATACATTGGTGAACATAAAAGACTTCTATTTTTTAACTCCCTTTAAAAGATAATATAATTTTTAGATCAAAAATAATAATGTATTATGGAGTTTATAACATGTGGAATTAAAAGTAATGGCAACAATGGCATAAATGCAGGGAAAAGGAGATACAAGTATACATGAAATGGCATATTATTTGAGGATAGACTGTAATAATTTAAAGTCATGTATTATAAAACCTAGAAGAACCTCTAATTATAAGAAGTATAGCTAATAAGCCAATAAAGGAGATAAACATGATCGTCTTAATAATCACACCAAATGTAAATGGACTAAATCAACTAAAAGCAGAGATGGTCAGATTGAATTTTTGAAAACCAAGATCCAACTATGATTTCTACAAAAAAAAAAAAAAACCTTTAAACATAAAGATACAAATAAAAATAAAAGGATGGAAAAAGATATAGCAGGCTAACATTGCTAACACAAATTAAGAAGAAAGCTGAGGTGGGTATATTAATAACAAAGTAGATTTTAGAGCAATGATATAGAGCTTAAGAAGGTCACTTCATAATGATAAAGGGGTCAGTTCACCAAGAGTACCTAACAATCCTAAATGTTTCTGCATCTAACAATGGAGTTTAAAATAATATGATGCAAAATTATAGAATTTACATGAGAAATAGACCAATCTATGCTTGTAGTATTAATTGATAAAACAAGTACACAGAAAATTAGTAAGCAAACAGAAGACAACATTATTAACCAACTTTACCTAATTGACATTTATCAAATACTCCATCCAACAGCAGCAGCAAAATACACATTCTCGTCTGGTGTACAAAGAACGTTTACCAAGATACCATTTAAAAAAAATGCATAAGGACTGAACTCATAGAAAATAAGTTATCTCACAATAACAGAATTATTTATTGTAATGCTATTTGGTGAACTGAAGGCAGGATGTGATTCTAGTCCTCAGCTGTCTCTCTGAAAAGGCCCTAAAATTTTTCAGGATACATCTGGGATATCTAAGTGGGAATGAGGTATCATGCTGACTCACAATATAGATCCTTCAGGACTGAAAGGTACTTAGGATTTGCTTTTTCATTCTTAAACCCTAGGGAAACTCCAAAGCTCCTGTATCATGGGATATGGGGAAGGTGATATTATGAACTTAAAACATCCAAGATATTACCCTACTTGGAGGCTAACAAGTTAGTCTGGCACAGTTTCATGGATACATCAAGCTCCTAGGTCTGAGGATAAAGGACAGTATATAGTAATAACAGTAGTATCAGTATTTTAATGATAGAGCCCAGTTTGTATAAGGTGATGCCAAGAAGGCCACATGACACCTACACACACACTGGGTTGTGTTACAAGATAGGAACTTTGAATTTAGGGAAGCAAGTCTTTTTTATAATGTAAAGTAAACATGGTAGCCCTCTGCTCCAGTGAGCACTATTTGTATCTTCCCAAGCTGTTCACTATTGAAAAAAAACCAAAAAACCTTAAAAAGATAGTCTGGAACAAAGGGCAGTCAGCACATCATTCGCAGGACATTCAGAAATACAGGAGACCCATGAAAAATCCTCTCCCATTCTTGTAGGCTTCCAATAAGACATTAGGATAGGGCTGCCAGAGGTCTCTGGACATTAATTTACTCTTGTTATTCACAAACTGGATAAGATCCTACATTTGAGCCTGATCAGACACTATTGACAATACATATTAAAACAGATATCTTTTCTCCTCGACAACATCCAAGTTGAAACCTGACACTAAAACTTAGGCTCCCTGGTTAAGCAACATGTTCCCCCCAGGGACCTAAATGTACACACACTAAAAGGGTTATTTAGAGTCACAGGCTCCATTTGGTAAGCTTTTGGTAAGAAATTCAGCCTAAGAGTTATCAGTTTATAACAGCATTTTCTGTACCTACTGTAACAGGTAAAGATTTGAAAGTCATGTCCTACAAATAATCTGCCTAAGTTGTTACTCCACTCTACTTTGACTTATATCTCATTAAATATTTAAACATCAAAGACAGCAAACTTTCTAAGAATATAGATAAGATATGCCATGGATATAGTGCTGATTTTGCCATTCTAACGACTCCATCTATAGGAGTGACAAATAAATCCTATCCTCTTCCCTCTCAATAAAAAGCACAGAATAAGAAATAACCTACAAACAGTGATGTCCCAGTAAACTGACTTTCTGGGAAAGAAAATGAGCCCTGATTTGTATCGCTTCCTAATTTCTGTGGTGTACATATATCCTCCATGGCCTATTTTAAGCTTCAACTGGCAAGTTTAAATCATAACTGCCAAGATGCCTCTTACAAGCTGGCACAAGCCAATTCTAGTACACCAATGACCAGTTGCCATAGTTATCATATGTAGTTCTGAGATTTAATTCCTTTTGTTGCAAAATTACTACAGGATAATAATGTTGTAAAAACATCACAGCTTTAAGTCAATCTATGAAGCACTGCCACCACTGCCGATACTACCATACATTTAACACATATTTCTTCAGTCTCTACTATCCCATAAACAGGTCAGAAGGAACAGCCTATAAACGTTTTGAAGAAAATATTTTCAAATAAAATCTTTTCCCTCAGTCTTTATATCCCATTTTGGCACTTAGCTTCCACAACCACTTAGGCTTTGATGCTTCACAGTAAAGTAGTTTTATTTAAAATGCAATAAAGTGCTACTCTTAAGTAGCTGAATCTATGGCATACTGACTAAAGTGTAATTATTATTAGGATTTTGCTAGAGAGTCATTATATGGCAATATCCAGTAACAGAGAGCAATACATGTGATTCAGTGGAGAACAAGAACAGAAGTGAAGTGTTAAGGTTTTAAATGGGTATGCTGTGATCAAGTTTCCATTTTCCTATCACCCAGCTGCTTGGTGGTAAAGAGGCTGGAAACTGCTAAGACTGAAGAATACATAGACTGGAGAATAGAGAGAGAATAGAGAGAATAATAGAGAATAGAGAGAGAGAATAGTAATACAGCTAAGAGACAATTTTGAAGGAGTTCTGTTTCCAGTATTACAGTAAACAAGAACTATTTCAGGCTAATTACTGACCCTGTCCCACCCTGAAAAACTACTAACATGATGCATAAAAGAGAAAACAAAGAATACCTTCTTACAAACATCAAATAACTGTCAAGATAGAATGGAATTACCAAGTCAAAATCTAGGTAAAAGTGGAAACCCAAAGAAGTAATCATGGTACTATAGCTGAATTTACCCAACTACAAGAAAAGTCATCAATGCACTAAGCAGGGGTAAATTAAGGGGTGGGGCAGAGAAGAACTATCCCTGGGAAATTGCCACCACAAGCTATCCCTTTTCGGATTTGTAGTCTAAATGAGTAACATCTGGGTGGTTGGGAAAGCATCATAAGCCATGAATTTAGTTTCAAGTAGACCCAATTCAATAGTTTTCCCAGATGCCAGGCGAAAACCCAATTATTGTAGGGAAAACTGCACCTTCAACTGACGCCTCAAAGAAATTCAAAAAGTAATTTTTCAAGGACAGTTACATAGTCAAAAATAACCGAACACACAAAGAAAATACTATAAGAATTATCAGAAATGGCCGGGCGCGGTGGCTCACGCCTGTAATCCCAGCACTTTGGGAGGCCGAGGTGGGTGGATCACGAGGTCAAGAGATCGAGACCATCCTGGTCAACATGGTGAAACCCCGTCTCTACTAAAAATACAAAAAATTAGCTGGGCATGGTGGTGCGTGCCTGTAATCCCAGCTACTCAGGAGGCTGAGGCAGGAGAATTGCCTGAACCCAGGAGGCGGAGGTTGCGGTGAGCCGAGATCGCGCCATTGCACTCCAGCCTGGGTAACAAGAGCGAAACTCTGTCTCAAAAAAAAAAAAGAATTATCAGAAATGGCATACACACACACTTAGAAATATCTGGTCTCAGATCTATATGATCATTGTAATGTCATTTGTATCAATAAATGTAAAGTTACTGTGAAGAGGCCGAAATATAAGGCAGGTTTACCAGAAAAGGATTTGAAAGATGATACTGCAATGAATGAAGGGGAAGGAACAGTTGGAGACTGAGTTGGGAAGAGGAAGTAGAACAAACTTTTCATCATATATGCCACACAAATATATATGAAACATCCTTCCAAAAAAGGAAAAGGACATAGAAAATATTACCTCTCCCTAAATCAAACTCTATTCTAATAAAACTATTTAAGTAGTCTGCACAATTGTCAGTGTTGGCTAACCAATTGTATTTTATCTCTATAGAGACTTCTGGTGTTCTGGATTACCAGAATAAAAGGGGTGAGGGAGGAAAGAAAGTTTAGCAAGAGCAGACTTTTGTAAATAGTGTTGTAACAGGAAAAAGAAAAAGAAGACTATGCGCCAACAGGAAGCCACTGTGAGCTTAGAAAAGAGTCCATGCATTCCTACCAGGTGAGGGCAACGCAGTACCATAATCCTAATATAAAAAGGATCAGTCTGTATATTTGAAGAAGAATACAAGTTAATATAGATGGATCAAAAGGTTTTAAATTTCATGCAGACCCTTTCAATATCTGTACTAATTACAGTGCTTTTTTCCACAAAGATGTGGATGGTCTTGGTAAGATTTATGCTAAGACAGACTGAAATTTCAGTAAATTCCATAATGTTCATAAAGCATACAAGCTTTAACTCTCTGGAAAGCTGATTTTTTTTTTTTAATTCACTCCTCTTTCTCTACAGAAGAGAAGCAAGTAACTCAAAGCCACTTTCCATTTCTGTGTATGTTCTGGGAGAGTAAGGCCTGGCCCTAGTATTCAAAAAGATGATCTCTTATTACCCTCCATTTTAAAAGACAGTACCCAAAGATAATAGTGGAGCACTTTCCTCAAAACCACCTATAATAATTAAAGACATCTATTATATCCAAGAATATATATAACTTACCCTGCTCCTAATTTGCTGAAATCCCTCTTAGCTTGCAGAGTATACATAGTCAAACCAAAAAATACTCCAGTAGTCAGTATGTAAGCTTGCAGAATAATATGTACGTCATAGAAAGTAACTGTAAAATTAAAACACTGATTAACATGCATATAAACATGCTCAATATAAAACAGCTTTTTCTGGCATTTTACAGAAATGCTTCATTTTCTCCTTTACTTTATGGCAACAAAAACAATTATGAAAAGGTTTCTTATCCATCCTTGAATGCATGGGTACAATGAAACCACATCCATAATGCAATTAACAGTCTCCAGAAAATTCATTCATACAAAATTGGAGGGTCACATTATTACCAAATTAATGAAATGACTAGAAAGCTCTTATGCCTGTAGACAGGAGTTTTAGGGATATGGTAGAGTGATTCTCAACTATCTCTGTCCCAGTCACAGTTTACCACCATCTGTGGTAATTGTCCACTATGGTTTCAATATCAGTAGGGATGATTCTGGGTTTCCTGCCAGACTGGGAATTTTTGGACAGTAGCAGCAATTCCAGCAGTCACCTGGTTACACTTTTTTTCTTGCCCAAATCAAGGCAATTGGGCAAGAAAAATATTGAGGCCTGTCTAGGGTTGCCTACCATTCACTTACCCTGCAGAAGACAGAAATCAGCCACTAACTGCTTTATATCTAATGTGTATTATCTTGGAGTACACTATTGTGGGGTTTATTGAATATATGCCAAATTCCTTTCTATAATTTTAGAATAACCATCCAGTCAATTATGGCTATTATAATAAAACTCCTTAACATTTTAACAAATTGCAAAGTTATAACCTCTTGGAGGTTAACTGCTTTGAACCCAAAGCCATTTAAGTAATTTTTAATTTTTCAGAGATTAATTATTCATTTTCTTGCTATCCCTAAATGCTACATGATTGGAATTTCTCTATTTATGCCATTACAGGATTAGGAGGTGAACAGGGAAAAGATAAGACATTAAGTCAATTTAGCTTCTTGTCAGTAATTTAAGTATACGATTAGGTTGAAAAGATATTGCAATTATTGAGGAAAATAATGTTCTCAGATTATCCCATCTATGTTTTTCTATCCCAAATTCCAATAATCCTGAAATGAATCTCTCTCCTACATTCTATGTACATAGTAGAGGCTGGAGAAGGGAGAGATGGATTTGATAACCTTAATAGCAAGTAACATTAATAATAAGTAAATAATAATACTGCCTATGTTGAGAAGCCGCAATCCTATTTATTATTTATTACGATGTATTTATATTGATTATTTTTAAATGAGAGATTACAAAAAAATACAGATTAAACAAAACTGGCATAGAAAGATTTAAAACCTAATGACAAAATAGGAAGAGTTAAATATATTAACTTATTAACTATAAGATAAACAACTTGATGTTATTAAGAGTAATAATTAACTCTGACCTCTTTGGTACTCAAGGTTAACCATTTGGAGAAGTTTTTATTCTTAATTTACTGAATTTTTTTTATTTGAGATATTATATAGGGTGCATCAAGTAATTATAACAGACATGGCCTTCAAACACGTTTAACATGAAATAGAGAGCAAAAACGACCAATGTTTCTTGTAGTGCTGTTTGAAACAATATGAGGATATAACATTAAAGCATAGTTCAGCACATGCAAGTTAAAGGAGTTAAGCTCATATGATCAAAGTGTATGGTTCAAAATACATGTTCTCAGTTACTTTAAGATACTTTTAAATTAAGGAAAAGATTAGCTATAGTTGTCTTATTTTTATAAATAAGTCAACAAATGAAATAATGTTCTCCATTCCTTTTATTTTTCTTTTCTACTTCTTCTAAGCTCAGCTGAAATAAGTAAAGGATAAATATCTAACTTTTGCTTATACTTTAGGAATTCTTCGTCCTATGCTATATTTCTGAAATATGATATTCCATGATGTTAGACTTCAGCCCCAAATACCTTTTTACCTGAAAGATTTATCTACATTAAAAAGTTATTATAACATATAGAAGTGCAATTACGGCTTACCAACAACTGCCACAGTTAGAGCTTCCAATAGTGTCTAATGAAAAGAAACTGAAATTAATGACTGTAAAATTTACACTATCTCATGTGCATTTTCTAATTTCTAGCAGCTTAATGTGATCCCATATGAATGATATCATTTTAGCTTCAAAGCAGTCTTGTGAAGTATATGAGGCAGTTAGTAAACCTACCATAATGAAAATGAGATCTCAATTTATTAAGTGAGAATATTTAGATTCTAATTGTGATACCAAGACTCTTTAAGCTCTAATCTCATATCTGTAACAGGAAGACTATAAATATGGAACATTCTACTTTTCTTACTCTGTAATATAAATAAAAACAAAATTGCAAATTATGTGCACATTTATAAAACCTCAATACCTCACACAAACATAGGAATAATAAAATATTTAAGTAGTACTTTGGTATGGGAGTCTTGAAAGTATTTCCCAATATTCTTTCTCTTTCTTCCCTAATAACAGAATTTTTACCCAGACATATGGCCGTTCAGATTTTACTGCATTTTTTCAGTCTCCTGGGCAGTTAGGTCTGACTATGTAATGATATTCTAGCCAATTTAATATGACTAAGAGAGGTATACAACTTCTGGATTGTGCTCTAAAAGCAAAGACTTGCTCTCCCTTTTCTCATTTGTTTGTATTAATAACTGAATGCTTTGTGGATATGGGAGTTATCTATCATATACCATGCAACTATCTAGCAATGCCTTGACCATAGCAGAAGCGTGGGCCCTTGTCACCTTCACTAAATTGTCATTCAAATTTTTACATGAGAAATAAACTATCTTGTTTAAGCCACAGTTATTTTGTCACTGTTTAAGTCATGTCAGAAGTAGCAGAACCCATACCCTAAATAAAAGACTTGGCGCTAATGAGTCTTGTCCTCTAGCCTCCTCTAGCCTCTTTCCCCTTAATTACAGTATCTTTATTTTGTCTTATATGCTTACTCTAGATAGATTTTGTCAACCATCTGATAGACCATATCACAAAGACAAAGTCAGAAATAACGGCAGTGGCTGTATAATCATAATCCTGGTAGAAGCATCCCCTGTACTCCACCATACCTGATATCAGGAAAACCATCAGTACTAGAGTAAAAATGGTATTAGAAATTGTACACAGACATGGAGGCAATGGAACTGCTGTCACATTTTAATGATTTTAGTAGTGCCAGTAAAAGGGTAGCAAAAGACAAAAAATTTTTTCTGGACTGGGCACAGTGGCTCACTCACACCTGTAATCCCAGTACTCTGAGAGGCTAAGGCAGGTGGATTGTTTGAGTCCAGGAGTTTGAGACCAGCCTAGGTAACATAGCAAAACCCGTCTCTACTAAAAATACAAATAATTAGCTAGGCGTGGTGACATGTACCTGTATTCCCAGCTACTCCGGAGGCTGGGAGGTGGGAGGATCACTTAAGCCCAGGAGGCAGAGGTTGCAGTGAGCCAAGATCGCGCCACTGCACTCCAGCCTGGGCGACAGAGAGACCCTGTCTCCATAAAAAAAAAGAAAAAAGAAGAGAAAATTTGGGATGGGGGGGGCGCAACATGATTACACTATATTCTTGCTATTTGTGACAAGATTTTAGGAAAGAAATCCTACCCACATTCAAGTATCTGAAGGAAACAGGATGGTATAAATAGGCATACACAGGAATAAAGATAAGACTAGGAAAATATGATAATGCCCCCTTTAAAACATATATACACATGCTTCTCAAGTTATAATGGGGTTACATGCTAATACACCCACTGTAAGTTGAAAATATCACAAGTCAAAAATACAACCCAGAGTGTCTTTGGTTAAAGAATCACCAATGCTTAAAGTCTGAACTTTCATGGTTGCATATTGCTTTGACACCATCATAAAACCAAAAAATCTTAAGTTGAATGATTTTAAGTCGAGGAATATCTATCTATCTATCTATCTATCTATCTATCTATCTATCTATCTGTCTGTCCGTCTGTCTCTCTGTCTGTCTGTCTGTCTATCTAATCTGCCTATATGTGTGTGTGTGTGTATGTCCATGCATACACACACTCCTACTACCTTCTTTCTTATCCTGCTGCAGCAGGACCAAGAAAACCCTAATGTTAAAGGTCCCTGAGTAATTTGAGGAAATGTATTTTACATACTTATTTGTTAAACCATTTTTAGCTATGGGCATGATGAATAGATTTAGCAATCAGTGACTATCTTGCCTATAAGCATTTGGTTGATGCTTTTCTAGTGGGACCTCTCCCTGCTGGGCAAAAGTTGACCCACACCCACTTCCGATATAGAAATCAGTCTTTCTGAGAGAAGGCTATATGTAGATGTGAAGAGGGATTCTATATGGCCTTCTTTCTTTTTATACTTCCTCTTTCCTAAGACATAGCTGACTAGGCCAGGAGTTGGCTCTGAGGCAATGTCTGGCAACACATATATTGACTAACAACCTACATTGTGACCTATGCCAACAACCAAGTATACCAATCAGATTCATTCTCTCTCTCTCCTTCCTTACTTTTCCTTCCTTCCTCCCTCCCTTCCTTCTCCCCCACCCCCCGCCTTTCTTTATGAGACAGGGTCTCACTCTGTCACTGAGGCTGGAGGGCAGTGGTGCGATCTCAGCTCACTTCAACCTCCACCTCCTGGTTCAAGTGATCCTCCTGCATCAGCCTCCCAAGTAGCTGGGACTACAAGCACATGCCATAACATCTAGCTAATTTTTGTATTTTTTGCAGAGACAATGTATCGCTATGCTGCCTGGACTGATCTCGAACTCCTCGACTCAAGCGGTACGCCTGCCCCAGCCTCTCAAAGTGCGGGGATCACAGGCATGAGCCACCACGCCCAGCCCAGATTCTTTCTGACCCAGGAATCTGAACTCAGAGATTGAAGCAATGGCAGTGTGAGCTAAAGCTAAATTACTCTATGGGGGCAAAAATTAATTATCTTTAATTTATATATGACCCATTGTTTGGGAAACAGAAAACAACGTGTAAGGACAACTGAGGTAGAGAGGAGATGTAATAGAATAAGGGAGAGGAGAACACAAACTCTTGTCACTGAATTTCCTATGATATCATCATTTCTAGAACATTCCTCCAGTTATCCAGTTCATCTTCCTTGAAGAAGATTTGGGTTGGTGGGTTCTCATGCGCTTACATCCTTAAACTCCTTGTTACTTGCGATAACTTGAGTTAGGACTGACAATCTTGCAAACAAAAGAGCTTAAGGTTTAAATGAATAATCTTTCCTATAACTGAAAAAAGTCATCAGCTTTTCTTTATCATTTTAACACAAACTCATTATCAGAATTCACAAACTTTTTAAAAGCATTTTAATATAATCAATAGCTTTTTCACTCGTATTTGACAAGTATTCTTTTTTGTTTGTCTGAAATGGGGTCTCACTCTGTCATCCAGGCTAGAGTGCAGTCATGTGATCTCACCTTACTGGAGCTTCCACCCCCGCCCCGGAACCCCCACCTCCACTTAAGTGATCCTCCCACCTCAGCCGATCAGGTAGCTGGCACTACAGGTGCACACCATCACACCCAGCTAATTTTTGTATTTTTTTTGTAGAGATGGGATCTTACTATGTTGCCCAGGCTGGTCTCAAACTCCTGGACTCCAGTGATTCACAAGCCTTAGCCTCCCAGAGTGCTGGGATTACAGGCATGAGCCACTACAGCCCAGCCAAGTAGTCTTAATATTAGTTTGGAATGTTTTGAAGTAAGTTTTTAGGTTAAAATATAGTCATACTGGATATGAGAAGAGGCAAAATAATTTTTCAAATATGTAACTGGAGCCTTATCCAGTTATTCTAGTCATATTCTAAGACTGAATTTTCATAAGTGGTAGTTTGGGTTTTAATTTTCACAAATATCTCAACACATATGACCTTAAAGTTGGGTTCTCCAAATATAATTTTGAAAAAAGTTAGTAGTGCACATAATTTGAGCAAAATGGTTCTTCAAAAGACCAGAGGGGTAAGGTAATAACACAGAAGAGTTAATCATAATGAATTTAAATTCTATGAAATTAAAGCCACAAATTTTTCCCCAAAAAATCACAGAATATTAGAGGTAGAGGTTTCACAAGGATTTATCTATTTTAATATTCTCATTTTACATATGAAAATACTTAGGCACAGAAAGGCTAAATGCCTTGCCCAGTGTCACATAATCGGATAGCAGCAAAGCCAGGTCCTCTGATTCCAATTAGTATTTTTTCCACTACCTGCTAATATTAATAGAATAACCTTTGAAACTAAGAAACTGTTAAAAGTTTTAAAAGACTATCAAATTACAAGTAATTTCCTAAAGTACTCTAAAAAAAACTCATTAATATTTTTCTGCCATTGTTATATATGTATTATATATGCATTTAATTAAATAAGAATATTCAAACTCAGGAATAATTGTTAAAGGAATAGAGAAAGTCAAAGTACTCACAAATCCAAAAAGCAGGTACAGGTTAAGGGGATATATATGTCTGTTTAAATTCAATGCAAAAATCAAACCCAGAGATCCAAGAGCAAACAGCAAAATTAAGGCAGGACTGAAAGACATAATATTAAGTGTTTCAAGTTAAAAAAAATAGCATGAGCAGTATTATCCAATTTAATAACATTTATCTAATTTATACGTTTATGAAAGTACAGGAGAAAAAATCTGGAATGAGACACACCAAACTATCAAATTATTTTACATCTGGAAAATTTGAGGGGTACAAGGTAGAAAGGAGCCTCAGGACAAAGAAAAGAGTCCAAAATGAATGGGGGAGACTTTTCCTTTTTACTGTATAAACTTCTATCATATTTGAATAATGTTTGCAATTAGTATACTAATATTAGACAATAAAGAAATTAAATAACAACAACTACATTTTTAGGGTATTTGCCATATGGCTGTAATTTAAATTAACGAATTATACCTCAAACAGCAAACTAATAGTTCGAGACTCCACTTTGGTAGAGGGAAAGGGAAAAGAAATTCTCTATTTCTATGAAAATATTCGTTAGTTCTCCTTTCCTTTAATATAGCAAAACTGTATTATTTTTAGCAATGGAAATAATTATGTTGGAGGTCAGTCTTTAATCAGGAATGAATCACGTGGCGGTCTTTTGAAAACTTCTTGGTGAAATTATCCTAGTCATGAGCGAAAACTAAAATGAACGCACATTTATTTTTCAAGCACTGTCTTAGGCTTTGAGCACAGGGACTATAGTCTAATAAAGTTTTTAAAAATTAAGATGTTTAAAAATGGCGTGCAGTAAAAATTCTTAATACTATTCCAGGAGATGAGGGTTTACTGAAGCTAAAAAGTTCAGAGGTAAATACCCTGTTGTGGAATATTTTTCTTTATCAAAAACAAAACTAATCAGGCTTGTAAGAGTTAGTTAATGAACTTTTTTAAATTTTAACCTCAAAAGTTAATAGAAAAAAGTCAATTTTGTTTATAATATGCCTTTTTGATCATATGCAATGTCTGAAAATGATTCATTATCATCTCATTACCTTACCTGTCATGTACAAATGTCCGTATAGACTCAAAGTATAAAAAAACTGTTGAAGCCACTGTAGTTAAGAGAACTTGCAGAGAAAGGATGCTGTAGACTTTTCTTAGAAAGGCTAAAAGAGGAAAAAAAGATATATGTGATTATTTTCTTATGCATTTATCGTAAAACAGTAAAATCAAATTTCCTCTTTAAAAAATTAAGTTTTTTTCATGTATTCTTTCCTAATTTTTATCCTGATAATGTAATCTACAACTAAAACTAGGCAAGACTACAAAGCTTCCAAAATAATTTAAAAATTGTAAGAGATAGCTAACCTTCCCTCCAAAAAGCATGAGCCTAAAAAAATTAGTGGGCCAGAATGTAAATGTTTTCATCAAAATGGAAATTGTATTAAATGCCTAGTTGTACACAACAGCATACAACATAGCAAAACACTAAAAGCAGAACGTTTTAAAAGAATGATTATATCTTGAATCTGAAAAGGAATAAGAGAAAGCATATAAACATAAGTTTTTTTAACTCTTAATTTACAAAACAGTAAAAATGTTTCCCCCAACTGAAACTTATCCTTAAAAGGCAAATAACATATAAACTTACTTTCACTCATCTATTATAATTTCTCATTTATAGTACCCCTGCCCTCCAGTTTCTATACAATAGAGAATTCTTACTTTCATATTTTGTTATCAATACCCAGAAATCACCTCTAAGAATTAATGATTAAATGCTTATTATTAAAGTCTTCTGATATACAGTGATGCAAATAATACAATGAACTTCCAAGAACTCACTATCACCTTCAGAAATAAAACATTAGTAACACTTCCCACCTTCTCTCTCTGACATCCCTCTCCCCTCATACTTCTGGCTAACAACAAATCATCTTTCAAGGTTCAGCCTTTTTCAGTCCCCCATTCTGAATTATCATGTTTCTCCTTCATGCTCCTGAGGAACCCTAAACATACCCCAGTCACTTTATGATTGATAAATCTACTTGTCCTTCACCTCCATGAAAGTGTAAAGACCAAAAGCTCTCTAATAATCGGGAACAAGCCTATTCATTTCCATACTCCTACCACTCAGCCTAGTGGATAGCACTGAAGAAACAGTGGTTAAATTTTATTTGCTTTTAAATAAATTTTTATTGAATTAATGAAGGGTGAATTTTACTAGTCAGGGAAAAGAAAAAGTAACATTCTGAAATCAAACAGAATAATGGAGCCACTACTTCGAGCACTGTCCTTAGGCAGGCAATAAAAATCACGTTGAATGACTCTTACCCAACAAAAGAAAATGTGATGTTGTCTCTTGCCTATCAGGGCAATGCTCATGGTAAATGAACATTAGATGGTGGATGTTCCTTTTGAAAAATATTCCTACCAAAGGCCTGGTTTCCCAAAGAAGGGTGAAGTGCTTTGATGTTATGTCAGCCAATTATCAAGTTAATAAAAATAAAATAAATCTTTCACAAGAATAAGGGAATTTCCATGAATACTAAGGATTTAATCATCAAAATGCCCAAATATTAAATCTTAATTAATTTTTCACTCTGGCACTCTTTCCAAAATCTAGAGTGAGTTTTTCCTAATGTCTTAAACAGATTTTATTAGACATATAATTTAACCAATGACTCACAAGAACCCTGAGTGTCCGTTGTATTTTGGCCTAGAGATAAACAGTGCTCAACTCCACAGCAGATCTACAACTTACTTACTTAAACAGGCCCTGATATCTGCATGCTCTGGGAGGTCATTTCTATCTTTTTCATAAAAGCAGAATAAAGAATATACTACTGGTATGGACAACGTTATCTGGGCTATATTTCTACAAATTTAATTAGTAAACCAAAGGTCAAGCCATTACACCTGCAAGGGATTTTCTGGACTATGAGAAAAAAAAATCATGTTCTTTACACTACAGTGTCCATGTCCTGGACTCAAGCCATCCTCCAGCCTCAGCCTCCCAAGTAGCTGGGAATACAGGCCCACAACACCACACCAAGGGGTGTGTGTGTGTGTAAAAGAGAGAGAGAAAGAGACAGGGTCTCACTTTGTCCCAGGCTTAAGTGCAGTGGCGTGATCACAGTTCATGGCAGCTCCAATTTCCAGGGCTCATGCAATTCTCCTACCAGCCTCCCCAGTAGCTAGGACTACAGGCACCTGCCCCTACGCCCAGCTAATTTTTGCTATATTTTGTAGAGATGGGGTTTCACCACGTTGCCAGGCTAGTCTTAAACTCCTGGGCTCAAGTGATCTATCCACCTTGGCCTCCCAAAGTGTTGGGATTACAGGCATCAGCCACTGTGACTGGCCCTGGAATGTATTCTTTACTTTTGATACCCTATCATGTAACTCAAAGCCAATCCATATGATATATATTCTCAATTAAGCAGTGAAAATTAATGTTATTTCTTACCATTTTGTAAAACTGTCACAGCTCAAAACAGTGTGCACATTAAGATCTAATGTGTATTTGCATATGTGTGTATGTACACAAGTACATATGAAATAAAAGACTAGAACAATATATATCAAGGTGTTTGTATTCTCTGAGCAGTAATACTAAAGATAATTTTCATGTTCAGTTATTTGCCAATCTGTGTTTTTTAGATACCAGCAATATGTATTACTATTGCAATTAAAAACACTTTAAAGAAACTTGTGCTAAGCCTTTAAATTCATACTAAAAAAATTATCCTTATGCATATATTCCAGACCACAACTTTTTCTATATTCTGGCATCATAAGCCAAATCCGAGGCAAAAGCAGTACTGACACCCACTGTGAATAATGTAAAAAGTAGCAAAGGACATGCATATACAGCTCTCAGGAAAATTTTAAAAAGATTCAATATGCAAAGAAAACTAGTCACATAGCAAGATTTTCCAATTTTTGTGGAATACTGATTTCTCCCCTTCTATTTGACATCTCAAACTTACCATGGCTAAAATCAAAGCTCTTCATTTATCCAAATTTGCTGTTCTCCCAGTCTTCTCATCGATAACTAGCACCAACATCCTCCAAGCCAAACATAGAAGTCATCTTTGATTACCCCCTCCTTGTTCCCAATCTGTCAGCAACTACTGTAGTTCTACTTTTGAAAGTGCAACATATCTGCCTCTTTTGGTCTCCTTTGCTACGTAGCTCCCTAGTCAAAGTGTGCCTGATCTCTCACCTGGACCCCTGAAGGAACCTTCTAATTGGTCCCCATGCTTTCACTTTTGTCCCACCTATTTCTCCACACACTCTTGTCAAAGTGATCTTTTTGAAAAGTAAACCATATCATGTGACTCTGCTTAAATACTTAAATAATCATTTCACTTAAAATGTAAAAGCTTTTATAGGGCCTGCAAGATCCTATATGATGTAGTACCTTTCCCAGTCTCATCACATAGCACTCTCCCTCACCATGCTTTACCCACATGAGTCATCTTCCTGCTTCAGAGCCTTTGTACTTGCTGTTTCCTCTACTTGGAATGCCCTTATCCTTCTTTACATGCAGTGGTGGTTTAAGATATGCCATAATTCTTTGATACTCCTTCAAGTGAGTCCTAACAAAAAGAAAGATGCAAAAGTGGCAGTGTGTTACTTCTAAGACCAAGTCATAAATGGCATTATGGCTTCCAAATCCTGCTCTTTCTTAGATCATTTCCTTTGAGACAGTGTTTCTCAACCTTGTTTTCATTATTCCTCACCTGAGTAGCCTTCTAGATATTTTATTCCTGATAGGCCCCTCAATAAAATTTTAATGCCACAAATATACTATATACCTGTTTATGTACCATCACCCTTTGGAAGGATATATGTTACTATAAAATCTTAAGGTTTTTAGATCTTTAGATCCCTCTAAAGAACCAATTGTCACCTAATGGGGCCAACAGCACTCCATTAAGAATGCATACTCTAGGGAAGGCCAGCTATGTTGTGAGGAAATTCAGGGAGCCCTATGGAGAAACACATGTGGTAGGAAAGTAAGGTCTCCTGCCAACAGCCAGTGAGAAACTGAGGCCTCCTATGAATAGCCCTATGAGTAGCCTGTCTGGAAGCACACCCTTCATCCCCAGTCAAGCCTCCAGATGACCAGCACTAGCCAATATCTGGACCACAATCTAGGACAAACCCTGAACTAAAACTACACAGATTCTTGACTCTCAGAAACTGAGATAATGTGTATTCATTTAAACCACTAAGGTTTGGGGTAATTTGTGACACAAACAGAATTAATATTTCTCTTGGTTCCTGGAAGTGGGGTACTGTCGTACCAAACACCTAAAATATGGGAGAGAGCCTTTGGAATCAGGCAATAGATGGAAGCTGGCAGATCTGTGAGGTGAAGGCTAAAAGAGCCTTGAAGAAACTGTTTTATAGAAAGTTAATGCCTTTGAGGCTGCTGCACGTGAGGGCTTAAAGGAAAGTGGGTAAAATTTTGTACAAACTGGAAGCAAGAGAAATCTTATTATATACTGATAAAAAGTTGAGCGACACTGTTAGCTACGGTTACATCAAAGGTAGAAATTGTGCTTAATGAAGAGGGTGATCAAACTAAGGAGATTTCCAGAGTGTTGAAGGTACCTGCTGGCTTCTTGCTGTTTATGCTAAAATGTAAGAGAAGAGATACACAGCTAAAGGAAGAACTGTTAAAACAAAAAGAGGAAAGGCTTCTGACTAAAGGGACAACAAAAAAATACATAAAGAGTATAAATGTAAAATCCTTAGTTAAGACCTCACAAATATCCAAAATTGTGCATCAAAAAAAACGATTCAAACAATAGGGCTTTTGAGAAGCTTAAGGAAGTTGTCACTCAGTCTCAGCCAAAGTTCATGCTAAGACATTTTTGGGTGTGGCTTTTATTACTGAATGAAATAAAACCCAGTAAGAATCACAGGACACCTACAAAGTTTTCTGAAGAATTACATTGGCAAAAATACCACCTCATATTATCCACCACCAGATGTTGAATATAGCAGTAGAGATGATTTGTCTTTTTAGTTTAAAAGTCTCTGAGGGGAGCTGTACTTAAGGAACTACTCCCAAGGAACTATACCCAGTGAGCTTCATCAACACCTAGGGTTGATTTAAATGATGAGATTCTAGATTTTGAGATGATGCTAT